GAAATAAATAGATACCCATTAATTAGTTACATGTAAGTTCGAACAAATATTTTGCAGCAACTAAAAATAAATGCAACAAAACCAGAGACGAAAAAAATTACCAAAACCATACCAGAGATAGCGAAAAAAAAACTCAAGCTCTTCGTGCAATTTTAACTTCTTATGGAATTTTTTTCCGAAACACATGTCACATGCAATTTGCAGGAAATAGCGGCGCGAAAGTTCATAGAAAACGGCACAGAGCATTTGAAACCAAGGTATATCTTAAAAATTTCGATCCGTGTGAGTGACCCTGGTAGAGGAACCGATAACAACTCGAGCTAATGAAGAGTTCACTTAAGCAAATCAGAAGTTTTGATTCGTCAAAGTAAATTAGTGATTCATGGATGCTTAGCCTTTCCGTAAAAGTGAACATGTTGTGGTTCAAATCGGGCAAACCCTGCACTTGACCAGCGACTAAGGGAGCCAGAAGTTGGACAGCATTCTTTTGAACAAGAATCGCTATGGAAGTTCTTTTCTAGTTGGGCTAGAGGCATTTTGATGCGCACAATCACAATCCCTTCCGTATTTTATACGGGGAATAGCAAAAAACCAATAGTTAACAGTAATACTTCCGCTGAGATGGGCACCAAGAAAACAGAAACGTATGCTAGGAACGCGGAACTGCTGCTACTGAACTAACCTCGCTTCGGCTATTTGCTCGAGTGCCAGAAAGGCTGTAACATCACACGGTGGAAAGACGACCTTCACATCTTGGCAATGCCATAAACGTCTAATATGACCGCCAGTCCAGCTGAATGTGAAGCGCATTAAGGAAGTATACGAAACAGAAAGGAGGAAAAAATAGCTTTTCTTCTTTATAATATTTGATCGTTCTGTAGAATACTGGACTTTCAATATGATCCCTCACCCATAACCCATAATACAATCGCATCAGCACTTCAGATACCGTAGAAGGCAAGGGTGTGCCACAGAGAAGACCAAAGGGGCGTGATCAGAAAGCCCTGACATGGTATGCGAAATTAGGTATGTCACCACTTGTCTGACATGTGGAGCTATACACTGCGTCTCCTAATCATACAGCCACCTAGAAATTGTTCAAAATCTCGAATTCCACAAAGTTTCTGGAAAAATGTCCAACAGGAAAACTGTGTCAAATTTGGTCGCGAATTCGAAAATCAACACAAAATTCCAGGTTGAAAATGCGAAAAATTTTATCCTAATTTTTCCAGAAAGGGTCGCTTTTCCATCGTCTTAGCCTTTTCCGTAGCAGTGAACATGTTATGGTTCAAATCGGGCAAACCCTACACTTGACCAGCGACTAACGGAGCCGGAAGTTGGACAGCATTCTTTTGAACGAGAATCGCTATGGAAGTTCTTTTCTAGTTGGGCTAGAGGCAATTTGATGCGCACAATCCCTTCCGTATTTATTTTATACGGGAAATAGCAAAGAACCAGTAGTTAAACAGTAATCCTTCCGCTTAGATGGCCACAAGAAAATAGAAACGTATGCTGGGAACGCGCGGAACTGCTGCTACTGAACTAACCTCGCTTCGGCTATTTGCTCGAGTGCCAGAAAGGCTGTAACATCACACGGTGGAAAGACGACCTTCACATCTTGGCAATGCCATAAAAAAACGTGCTGTAAAAAAATATTTTTTGACCGCCAGTCCAGTGAATTGTAAGCGCATTAGTAGGTATACGGAAACATAAAGCGAAGGAACAATTAGCTTTCTTCTTATAATAATTGATCGTCTGTAGAAGGACTTTCAATATATCCCTCACCATGAACCCATAACTACAATAAGCACTTCGAGAACCCGTAGAAGCAAGGTGTGATCAGAAAGCCCTTGTATGGATGGCGAAAGTAGGTATTTGCACCACTGGTCTGACATGTGGACTATTACACTGGCCCTCAAACATACAGCCCTCAGAAATTGTGAAATCTCGGAACTCCACAACGATTGTCTGGAAAATGCTAACAAGCAAAAAACTGCTGTCAAATTTGGTCGCAAATTCGAAAATCAACACAAAATTCCAGGTTGAAAATGCGAAAAATTTTTTATTCTAATTTTTCCAAAAAGGGTCGCTTTTCCATCGTCTCCAAATGATACAGCCACCCCGTGTTTCTTCGTTGCATTTCATTTCTGATCGATGAAACTGATTGGCAGTACTCAATTGTTCTTTCTTAGGTTATCAGGAAAGGAAAGCAACTATTGGACTTTGAAAAAGGGGAAATCGTCACAAAATAAGAAAAATTAAGCGCCAGGTGGTCACATTGCGCGAAAATTTCGTCGAAATTACGGAATGATTAGCAATTTCTTTTTGAATCCTGTAGCGACATGGAACTCAGAAGAACTCTGGACTATCCTTGCTTTTTGATTAAGATAAAGCGACATTATGAGAACAGCACCCAAATTTCACCAAGGCGTGTTCGGAAGTTGAGTCTTCTTTAGAAACTTAATCTCCTACTGGGATAGTGCTGGGAATGCAATAAACAACTTCCAAGATCGTTCTCAGCTGAATATGAAAAGGACGGTGATTTTGAAAAGAAACCGTCGCGAAAACCGAGTCATTTTTGCAAGGGAAGTCTGACCAAGCCAACCGGAGCAGATTTTTGGCCTGTTCTGTTTCACTTCTTATCTGTCATCCTTTTACGCTTTTGGCTCCAGATGGTTTCGTCCTGGAGGAAAGCTTTCATTAGCGAGGAAAAACTCGAAGGTAAAGCAGATAAGAAGTAAAACAGAACAGGCCGAAAATGGATCCTGCTCCGGTTGGCTTGGTCAAAATTCCCCTGCAAAAATGACTCGGTTTTCGCGACGGTTTCTTTTCAAAATCACCGTCCTTTTCACATTCCGCTAGAAAACGATCTTGGAAGTTATTCAGTTAACATACCTAAGCAACTACCCAGTGAGGAATTAAGTTCGAAGAGACCCACCTCCGAAAGACGCCTTTCGTGAAATTGGCCGGCTTTCTCATAATGTCGCGTTTACCTTAATCAAAAAGCGAAGGACAGCGTTCGGAGCCCTTCCAACTTCCATTTCCTACAGAATTTAAAAAGAAATTGCTTGTCGCGGTTCGCGACTGTGGTCCCGGGCGCACCGCGCGCTTGGGCACTGCTGTGCAGCAGGCGCCGTGGCGTTGCATGCACCGACTATAGGGGCATGCTCCGCCTCCGGTCCCGCCTCCAGCCGGGACTACTTAAGCGAGCCGCCTCTGCCAGTCGGCGCACTTCGCTCCCTCCGGGAGGAGCGTTGTGCCGGGCAACGCGAGGCAAGGCGCCAGACGGCTCGCCACTTACCACCGACGACCCGATGGATGGACGATGCGATGGCTTGGTACCTCCAAGCCCGGCAGAGGATAAGAAGCATAGGTCGTCAACTTGTTGCCGCCAATATCCGCCAATAAATGTGAGTATGTTTAATTGTAGTTGTTGTAGTAGGGTTGTAGTTTGGGGAGCGCCAGGGCAGGGGCCCGACTAAGGCGCAGTAGGCTTTTCTTGTGCTGTTATGTTGTGGGGTGCTAGCCGGGGCAAGAGAGCCCTCGGCCCTTGGGCTGGGAAAGCCCGGGCCGACGGTGGGTCTTGCCCCGCGGGTTACCGCTTACCGCGACCCTTAAACCCCCTTCCTGGGTTAGGAACCCGTGATGCCCCGGGGAGCGGAGGCCATGCTGGGAGGGAAACCAGCGTGGTCCCCGGGAAGGACCCGTAGGATGACGTGTGCCTGGGAAAGGCCGCGAGGGCCCCGAACCACCTCGATGCGTCGTGTTTGGAGGGTTAGGAGGGCGACCGCTCCCGAACCACGACATTGCCTGAATCCATTCCGTAGTTTCGACTAAATTTCGCGCAATGTGACCACCTGGCGCTTAATTTTTCTTTTTTTGTGACGATTTCCCCTTTTTCGAAAGTCCAATAGTTGCTTTCCTTTCCTGATAACCTAAGAAAGAACAATTGAGGACTGCCAATCAGTTTCATCGATCAGAAATGAAATGCAACGAAGAAACACGGGGTGGCTGTATCATTTGGAGACGATGGAAAAGCGACCCTTTTGGAAAAATTAGGATAAAATTTTTTCGCATTTTCAACCTGGAATTTTGTGTTTGATTTTCGAATTCGCGACCAAATTTGACACAGTTTTCCTGTTGGACATTTTTCCAGAAACTTTGTGGAATTCGAGATTTTGAACAATTTCTAGGTGGCTGTATAATTAGGAGACGCAGTATAGATGGGTAAAAGAAAACAAGGAAAGGTTGCAAGAGGGAAATCGTGTCAGTGCTCCTAATTTTCTGCACTGAAATTTGGCCTTATTTCTCGTGCTACTGTCCAAACTGGATGATCTATTATTATATATTGCACTATCCGCAATGGACCTTTATGGGCAGTCTGATGTAATATATATGAGATTACCTCCCATTCACCATCACGACCTCTGCCGCTTTGACAATTAGACCAATAGGAAAAAAGGCGAACAGACGATAGTACAACAGCTTTGCATGACTGAGCAGATTGTTCTGCACAATAATGTCCGCATTGTTATATGTCCGCTCTCGTCGTGACACCAAATCAATCATATCTAAAGCATTAATTCAAAATAGTTGACAAAATCCCCGCCACTTAGTAATGGATATCGATAAGAACTTTGCCTAGCTACTGCGCCGACAATGAAGATACTCACCATGAGAGATAGTTGGATAGTGGACATATGTAGCAACGCGGCTACCTGCTACCCACCTAAATAGGAAGAATTACAGGATAAAGGCGGCAAAAAAAAACTGAAGTATTGCTTATCAATTCCGTTTATCATGGTTTTCATGAGGCTCACAATTGTGATGCCCGTTCTTTTTGAAGCTCCACAAAATAGCTTTTTTTCATGAGTCTCCCGAACAATAACATCACAGCGGCTACTAGTCCAACTGGATCTTTTTCTCACCATCGTGACGAGAGAATCGAAACATACAGGGGGGGGGGCAAAAAAAAAAAGACATTTTGCCTCCACTTCCAGATGGATTTAAGCACATTTTACTCAACTCAGACCGAACGGTTCCAACTTATTATTAAAGAGTGCATTCCATTCTATAAGAAAATCTTCATAGTGGCCACGTACGTGGACGGCATATGAAGAATTTTCTTATAGAATGGAATGCACTCTTTAATAATAAGTTGGAACCGTTCGGTCTGAGTTGAGTAAAATGTGCTTAAATCCATCTGGAAGTGGAGGCAAAATGTCTTTTTTTTTTCCCCCCCCCCCCTGTATGTTTCGATTCTCTCGTCACGATGGTGAGAAAAAGATCCAGTTGGACTAGTAGCCGCTGTGATGTTATTGTTCGGGAGACTCATGAAAAAAAGCTATTTTGTGGAGCTTCAACAAGAACGGGCATCACAATTGTGAGCCTCATGAAAACCATGATAAACGGAATTGATAAGCAATACTTCAGTTTTTTTGCCGCCTTTATCCTGTAATTCTTCCTATTTAGGTGGGTAGCAGGTAGCCGCGTTGCTACATATGTCCACTATCCAACTATCTCTCATGGTGAGTATCTTCATTGTCGGCGCAGTAGCTAGGCAAAGTTCTTATCGATATCCATTACTAAGTGGCGGGGATTTGTCAACTATTTTGAATTAATGCTTTAGATATGATTGATTTGGTGTCACGACGAGAGCGGACATATAACAATGCGGACATTATTGTGCAGAACAATCTGCTCAGTCATGCAAAGCTGTTGTACTATCGTCTGTTCGCCTTTTTCTATGGTCTATGTGGTCAAGCGGCAGAGGTCGTGATGGTGAATGGGAGGTAATCTCATATATATTACATCAGACTGCCCATAAAGGTCCATTGCGGATAGTGCAATATATAATAATAGATCATCCAGTTTGGACAGTAGCACGAGAAATAAGGCCAAATTTCAGTGCAGAAAATTAGGAGCACTGACACGATTTCTCTCTTGCACCCTTTCCTGTGTTTCTTTACCCACTCAATACACTGCGTCTCTTAATTATACAGCCACCTAGAAATTGTTCAAAATCTCGAATTCCACAAAGTTTATGGAAAAATGTCCAACAGGAAAACTGTGTCAAATTTGGTCGCGAATTCGAAAATCAATACAAAATTCCAGGTTGAAAATGCGAAAAAATTTTATCCTAATTTTTCCAAAAAGGTCGCTTTTCCATCGTCTCCAAATGATACAGCCACCCCGTGTTTCTTCGTTGCATTTCATTTCTGATCGATGAAACTGATTGGCAGTCCTCAATTGTTCTTTCTTAGGTTATCAGGAAAGGAAAGCAACTATTGGACTTTGAAAAAGGGGAAATCGTCACAAAAAAAGAAAAATTAAGCGCCAGGTGGTCACATCGCGCGAAAATTTCGTCGAAACTACGGAATGATTAGCAATGTCGTGGTTCGGGAGCGGTCGCCCTCCTAACCCTCCAACACGACGCATCGAGGTGGTTCGGGGCCCTCGCGGCCTTTCCCAGGCACACGTCATCCTACGGGTCCTTCCCGGGGACCACGCTGGTTTCCCTCCCAGCATGGCCTCCGCTCCCCGGGGCATCACGGGTTCCTAACCCAGGGAAGGGGGGTTTAAGGGTCGCGGTAAGCGGTAACCCGCGGGGGCAAGGCCCACCGACGGCCCGGGCTTTCCCAGCCCAAGGGCCGAGGGCTCCCTTGCCCCGGCTAGCACCCCACAACATAACAGCACAAGAAAAACCTACTGCGCCTTAGTCGGGCCCCTGCCCTGGCGCTCCCCAAACTACAACCCTACTACAACAACTACAATTAAACATACTTACATTTATTGGCGGATATTGGCGGCAACAAGTTGACGACCTATCTTCTTATCCTCTGCCGGGCTTGGAGGTACCAAGCCATCGCGTCGTCCATCCATCGGGTCGCCTGGCACTCCGAGCCGTCCAGCTTCCTAGCGTTGCCCGGCACAACGCTCCTCCCGGAGGGAGCGAAGTGCGCCGACTGGCAGAGGCGGCTCGCTTAAGTAGTCCCGGCTGGAGGCGGGACCGGAGGCGGAGCATGCCCCTATAGTCGGTGCATGCAACGCCACGGCGCCTGCTGCACAGCAGTGCCCAAGCGCGCGGTGCGCCCGGGACCACAGTCGCGAACCGCGACAGCAAACGATACGTAATAACTTCTGGTTAGGAATCGCGAAGTGGAAGGCTCCCGGAACGCTGTCTTTCGCTTTGATTAAGATAAACGCGACATTATGAGAGCAGCACCAATTTTCACCAAGGCGTCTTCGGAGGTTGGGTCTTCTTCGAAACTTAATTTCTCACTGGGTGGGCTGGTATGTAGTGTGCAGTGTAACTTCCCAAGATCGCTCTTTTGAGCGGAATGTCCGAGGAGAGACGGTGATTTTGAAAAGAAACCGCTCGCGAAAACCGAGTCATTTTTGCAAGGGAAGTCTGACCAAGCCAACCGGAGCAGGATCCATTTTCGGGCTGTTCTGTTTTACTTCGTTAACTGCTTTACCTTCGAGTTTTTTCTCACTAATGAAAGCTTTCCTCCAGGACGAAACCATCTGGAGCCAAAAGCGTAAAAGGATGACAGATAAGAAGTGAAACAGAACAGGCCAAAAATCTGCTCCGGTTGGCTTGGTCAGACTTCCCTTGCAAAAATGACTCGGTTTTCGCGACGGTTCTTTTCAAAATCACCGTCTTTCTCAAATTCCGCTAAGAACGATCTTGGAAGTTATTCATTGCATACCCAGCACTATTCCAGTAATAGATTAAGTTTCAAAGAAGACTCAACTTCCGAGCACGCCTTTGGTGCTGT